TATAACAAGTTATATGGCTAGTTTTCAGTCCAATTGGATGCTTTTCAAAGATGAAAGAAACAATATTTGAAAGTGATCACATGAACCCAAAGAGACAACAGAATTTTACCTCTTAGTTCTTGAAAATCTTTTTAGATTTCAGACACTGATGAATTCAGGATGAATGCTTTAATTTATCTAAGTTAACAACAGAATCAGAGAGTAAAGCTTCTAAATTAGTATAAGAAAAAATAAAGCAATTAATTAAAATAAAATGAATATTAAAACTTTAAAAAGGTTGCCGAGACTGGTTTGGCTCAGTGGATAGAGGTTGGCTTGGGGGCTGAAGGGTCCCGGGTTCGATTCCGGTCAAGGGCATGTACCTTGGTTGTGGGCACATCCCCAGTAGGGGGTGTGCAAGAGGCAGCTGATCGATGATTCTCTCATCAATGTTTCTAACTCTCTATCTCTCTCCCTTCCTCTCTGTACAAAGTCAATAAAATATGTTTTTTTAAAAACAACTTTATAAAGGCAAGAATGGGTTAAACACACACATACGCACACACACACACAACATTTGAAAAGAACCCAAATTAAGTTAGTTTAATCCATTGCAGAGCTTACAAGCTAGTGGAGGAAACATATAACTAATAGGTGAAATAAATAAATGTCATTTTAATACATGCTATGTATAAAAATAGAATAGGGTAAAGCATTAGGAGGAGACGTTTTTTAGATAAGGGAAGGTCTGAGAGAAAGGGGAAGAAGAAGCAAGACTCCCAGATTCTTTGTCTTAGGCAAGAAGAGAGGTTGAGAAGAGAAGAGGAGCCATACAGGAGACGGAGAAGAGGCAGCGCAGTGAGGCAGGAAGAGGTGTGTGACCCAGTGAGGAACTGTTTTAACTCGGAGGACATGATCAACTGGGAAACTAAGAATGCCTGGCTACTTTACTACACATCTTTCCCAGACTTGGGGAACACAGCCAACAGCAGGATCAGTATTGAAAAGAGTAAACATGGGGTGCATAAACTACAGAGCCGGCTGCTAACTGCATGGACTTTGAACCCAGACTACCTGAAGTTGAATCCTGGATTAATTGGGGGGGGGGGGGTGGAATCCTCTCTGTGCTTCAGTTTTCCATCCATGAAATGGGGATAAAAATAGCACTTGTTTCTTCTAGTTATGATTAAATGAGTTAATATTTATACACCACTTAGAATAAAACTGGCATAAAGTTATTATGCGAGTCTTTGTTAAAAAGAGAAAGAAAAACCCCATATGGTTCTCCCTTATCAGAGGAGGATATGTTCTAAGACCCCAGTGGAAACTTACAACAAACCACAGATAGTTCCAAACCTTACCCTTACATATACTGTTTCTTTCCTATTCATATATATATATATATATATATATATATATATATATATATATGTTGTAATTTAAATACAAGAAGAGGTGAACAATAACACGTAAAACAGAACAATTATAACAATATATACAATAATAAAGTCATGTGAATGTGGTCTCTGTCAATATCTTATTCTATTCACCCTTCTTGTGATGGATGTAGTGGTGGAATCATTCCATAAATAAGAAGGCTGTCACCCATGCTTTCTCATTATGCTGCCAGAACACAGGCAGATAATTTTTGTTTCTGAGAGTGTTTTCTTTGCTCTATACACTATGCTTGAGGGCTTTATCATGTGCCCTGCAGCATTGCCCATAGTACCAGAGTTAATCTGTCCTTCCACGTGTTATGCTCTGCTGACTCTTTTGCACTTTTATGAATGTTGGTTCTATTGGGCATCTTCTTCCAGAAAAGTCTGGTTTTCATTGCAATTAAACACTTGCTTGAAAATTCTCTAGGGGGAAAGGGTGTGGGGGGTTCGGGAAGAGACAAAAATCATACAGCTATGGATGAGGACAGAGCGGGGGAAGTAAGGGTAGAGGGTGGGGTGAGAACTGGATGGAGGGGAGCTATTGGGGGGGAGGGGAAAGAGGAACAATTGTAATAATCTGAACAATAAAGATTTATTAAATTAAAAAAAAAACTTGCTTTGGATGAAATATTTTCTCCTTCATCAACTCTGCTGGAAATGTGGCAGTAGCTCCTTCATCGGCAGATGCCGCCTCTCCAGTCATTTTTATATTTTTCAGTCCAAACCTATTCCTGAATCTGTAAAACAATCCCTTATTTTGCAGCAAATAGCTTGGTATTACTAATTTCAGGGGATCCCTAGTTGAAGTTTTCCTACAGGCTCAATGCTTTCTGATGCAACATGCTGATGTCAACTGGAACATGTTTTCTGTCATGTCTTCCACTCACAAATTCAACGCCTTCTCCATCTTAAGCCCTTATCGGATGCTGTGGCTGTAACTTTTGCAGTTTGAGCTGCAACAGCAAAACTTGCATGAATTTTTCTTCTTCACCGTTTCATGAAAGCAGATTCATTCTTACTGTAGAGCTTAGCAACTTCAGCATAAGGTTTTTGGTGGTTTTTTTTTTTTCATTCTTAAGTAAGTAAAAAACTTTTACCTTTTCACTTAAAGGAAGTACTTTACAGCTTCTCTTTGGCATATTCCTACTCGGGCTTTGGAGCCATCAGTAAGTAAAATAAAGATTACTTGAGCTCAGCTGGTATTTCTCAGTGGTTGAGCATCGACCTATGAACTAGGAGGTCATAGTTCGATTCCTAGTCAGGGCACATGCCTGGGCTGTGGGCTCGATCCCCAGGAGGTAGCTGATCAATGATTTTCTCTCATCATTGGTGTTTCTATTCCTCTTTCCCTCTCTCTTCCTCTCTGAAGTCAATAAAAAATATATTTTTTTAAAAAAGATTACTTGAACACAAGCATTGTGATACCACAACAATTTGTAAGATAATCAAGACGGCTACTAAATGACTACCAGGCAGCGAGCATATACAGCATGAATACACTGGACAAAGGGGATGATTTAAGACAGGGGAAGGATAGTGCATTAACAGTATGAGAGAGCATCATGCTACTTAGAATGGTGTTTAATTCAAAACTTATGAACTGTTTATCTATTTTCCATTTAATATTTTCAGACCATGTTGACATAGGTAACTGAAACGGCTGAAGGCTAAATCACAGATAAGGCAAGACTAACTATAACGGCAGAGGCAGGAAGAACATTCTCAACAGGTTCCAGTTGACACTAGACTTATCTAATTGAATTAATCAACATGACTGATAAAATAAGTATATTCTGATTTAAAAAAAAAACAGCACAAAATTGACTATAGGTAGGACATGTTTAGTTCTTATTTGTTATAAGGAATGTCTTATTAAATATTGACTGATTCAGAACTCTATCCTATTCCTCCTTTCCCATTGATTTATGCTCTTTTCTCTTTTCAATTAAAAATAATCTCAGATGAACAGTGATAATAATAAGTAAACACTTTTTGTATCCACACTTTCTGTAATAGAAGAAATATCTGAATACTTTCATGGTGCTAGCTATCATAAGGAGCCAAACAAATAATTTTTATGTAATACACTGAAGTAGGTGCTTTGAAGGGTTCATAAAACTGTAAAACATTAATGTGAAAGATAAAGTTCATACCTATGGGACAATTACACAATTATGAGTATATTGGTAATGAATTTTATAGTGTTATAAGAGATAAGATAATGCAGAGTTCACTACTGGTTGTAAGGATATTTCATGAATGAAGTGTGATATTTATCTGGATGTGGGTAAAATTACAATCATTATATTTCAAGATATGCAAAGACTCAAATTATTTCTCTTGCTTGTGAATTTCCTTAGAAAAATCTAGAGAAAATACTTCACAAAATGGGATATAAACTAAGAGCAAGATACTAACTAGACCATAAAACCAGGGCTTCAATACAAAAGTGGGGCAAGTCTCAGAAAGTCTCAGGATGACAGCTATTCAGCAGGATTGCAGAACAGAGCGAAAGAACAGAGGAGAAAGAGAAGGGAAATGGAACTGATAAGAGGATTTTAGTTTCATTTGCTGTGATAGATGTTTAAGGTATTGGATCCACTGGAGCATTTGATAAAAACAAGCAACAGATGAATTAAACACAATACTGCGTACTAACAAAGACAAATAGAAAACAAAGTAATTAACTCTAAGGGAACAGGTGAAAAATATAAACACCTCACATTTTTTTGTCTCAGCAGTGAGTGATATTTACATAGTCTCCATAAAGTAAATACTAACTGCAGACTTATCCAAAAATTGCTTCAAAACTATTGGAAGAATGGCGTGACAAAGGGGGTGATAGACTGAATCTCAAAACAACCCTAATGAGGCTGAAGCAGCATGGCCCAGAACATATTGCCATAGGTATACATTTGGGGATCCCGCAGGGTAGAGGCAATAGTTAAAGCCACGGCAAGAGAGAGCACACAGTCTAACCCATAACCTCATCCAGAGGAATTCCAACATTTAAAGGAGCTTGAAAAGGTGGGGACCACCCTTAATGAAAGGCACACCAAGGAAATCTCAAACCTTCCCCAACCATGCTCTGACATTTTTGCCATTTTCCTAAAATTGCTCCTGCCCTGTCACTATAATTTGTGTTTACATTGACAAAGTGCTTTACAATTAGGTATTCCGATTTCTGCGTTGGTTCCAGAGACAACTGGAGATATCTGTAAACAAGGAAAATCAATGTACTATTATATATATAAGAAAGTGATCTGCTCATTCCCACAGTAAGTTGTACCAGGTGGCCCAGATTGTGGATCACTGCCAGGGGTTGGGGGCTTAAAGGGGAGGGCGCACCATGCAGCAGTGGGGTCATCAGGACAGTGCTAGGATTTCAACTGATGTGTCGTCACAGTTAAAACTCTGCCCCCGACCCCCTTTAAGAGTAACAAGACACCTGCGCACACGGCGGCGGCGGCATTGTAAGGGAATCGAACTCCCTTCTCTCCGCACAGCCTGGGGCGCAGGACTGAGCGCAGCGGCTCGCACTAACGACGTGAGGCGACCCCTGAGGTCAGACCCTGGGGAGCCATGGCCGCGGGCAGCGCCGCCCCAGGTGAGTCACCAGCCAGCAGGGCCCGGGCAGTGGGACTCCAGGGCAGTCTCAGAAAAAGGGGGCCCGAAGGAAGGAAAAAAACACACACAAAAAAACAAAACCCTCACGAGACTGGGAGGGAGGCAAAGGCTGCCGGATCGGACACAGCGCGTGCCACGTCCCCGGATTCCCACGGCCTAGCCGGGCCGGTAGCGGGGATGCCCCGCTTCCGTGCGCCCAGGAGGCGGCGGGTACTGCTTCCGAGGTCACCGGCCGGACGGTCTGAGGGCGGGAGCGGAAGAGCCACCCAGCGCCGCGGCTCCGGCAAATGACTCCCCTCCTCAGGCGCCTCGGGCTCGTCTACCGTTCTCTCCCGTCTTGGCTCCGCTCCGAGCTCACCGGCGCGATAAGTCCGCCTCCGGGCGCCGCGACGGCGGGCCTTCGCCAGGCCCCGCCGGCCGCCGCGCCGCCCCCAGCCGCCCGGCCGCTGTCCAGCGCGCGCGGCCTGAGCCGAGGATGCCGCGGCGCCAGTAATGGGGGGCCTCCGCCCCGGGGGGGAAGTCCGGGTTTTGGCGCCTTTCGGGAGGGCGCGCAGCCCCCTTTCAGGATGGCGCGGGAGCGAGGCCATCCCGGTCCCCCCGGGGGTGGCGTGGTGTCTGCTGTGTGCGGGGGAGGCCGCCCCCTGCCCTGGACACGTGTGTAAGTTTGGAAAGTTTAAAAATGGTCAATAGGTTCAGTCTGTTTTCGGAGAAGTGTTTCCAGCCCCAAACTGGAACCCCTGCTCCCCTCTCGGCCCCGGGATGGGCTCGTCTAGGGGCGGGAGGGGGCGTTTCGGGCGGGAAATTGAGGATTTGAGCGCGCAGCGGGCGGTCCGCCTCATTCTGCCGCTCCTTGTTCCTCTGTGCTCGCCTCCGGCCCGCTCCGCCCTGCCATGCCGTGCTCCGAAGACACGCTCGCCGTCTCCCCCAGCAAGCGGCCCCGGCCCGCGGAGGAGGGCCTGCGGCTCCGCTTCGTGCGGCTCTCGGAGCACGCCACCGCCCCCAGCAAGGGCTCCGCGCGCGCCGCGGGCTACGACCTGTACAGGTGGGTGCTGCCCCGGCCCCCCGCCCCCCGCCCCGCAGGAGGGCGCCCGGGGTGGGGGGAGCCTTCTGCCCCCTCCTTGGTTGCCTGCCCTCCCCGCCCACAAAAGGCTAATTCTCCCGTTTTAGAGCTTTCTGTCACATTAGCTTACATTCTGCTGCTACCGCTTGAAACTTCCATTTAAAAGATTGCAGAGGCAAACGTTTTTTTTGCTTATACGTACTGTTAACGAAAAATACACATTGAAACCTGTAGAGAATTGTAGTGAGTTTATTTGAGCCAAACTATCAGCAGAACCTCAGTGGATTGAGATAATGGCGGGTTACATTGCTCTATCTATACCTTGCAATCAAAGGAGGGACATAGGTGAGTTACATGAAATTCATTGGTGTTAGATTAAGGAGGTGGGATTAAGCAAAGCGGTGGGAAACGCCTGGGATTGGATAAAAAGTTTAATGAGGGACGTGTATTTATGTGAGTGCGGGAACAATTAACATGATAAAGAAGGAATGTGAGGCCTCTGTCCTGGCGCCCACCACAGGAGGTTGTGCCCCAGGGGCTCCAGGAAAAGGGAAGTTACAAGTTAACTAGACATCTCACAGATCTGTTATCTTAGAGGCAAGAAAAAGGCAAATGGGCTCAGTAAAGAAGATCTAAGTTGATCTTTGTCAGAGAAAATATTGGTATAGGACATGACTACCCATTATAACCTGTTTGTAGTTTAAATATTTAATTTTTAAACCATCTTTTGTGGTGATTTTAGGTCTCTGAGTTTGCAAGACTGCCACGCAGGCCTCCCCTGAGCTTGTCTGGTTGGCATGTGGCTCCTTTCGCTCACAGTAGTTTCTGACTTTTTAAGTTGAAAATTTTAGCTTTCCTCTTTAACCTGAATTGAACAGGGATCTGGGCCAAGAGCGTAGAATAGTAGATAAGTATTCATAAACATGCTCTGAGGCGTTATTTTGGAACATGAAACATTCTCTGAGGTGTTGTTCTGCAACATTGATTGCATCCTCTTCAAGGGGAAGGTAGGGATGTATAAAGCACACCTTGCCCTTCAAGGCCTGAGCCACGATGCTGTGCATACTGGAAGGAAAAGCCCGGTGGAGCCGAGGTGCGTAGTATAAAAATACCTACGCAGGATTAATGAAGGCTGCTTTTGTTTGAAGAGTTAATAAAATTTGTCTGTGGGTTCATATTTAAGTTTGCCCTGAGGACTGGAAATTTCACAAAGGGCTTGGATATGAGAAACAGAAATGTTAATTATACTCCCAACTTTTCACTTGTGTACTTTTTACCTATACTAAAAACTTTATATTTTTTAAATCCTCATAACAGTCTGAATAGGTGAGTGCTACCTTTTACGGTGAGAGGTTTGTAAGGAGCTGAATTGATTAATCCAAAGGCTTGAATGTAAGAGCATTTTGACCCTGAATTAAGTGCCTTTTTTCACTGGACTTCTGTGCCCACTTCATAGGATCATTAAAGTAAGTGAAAAGTGATATTGTAGATAGGGAGTGATCTGAGCCTTAGGATGTATTTTAAAGCATTCCAGGTAATTCTAACCTGAGAACTATGGTCTAAGTCATGTACAAGAGAAGAGGAGAAAGAGCTGTGATGATAGTAAGGGCGAAGAAAAAGAAAAAAGGTGAAGTATAGACTATTGTAGCTGAAAGGGATTAGAGTTCAGCCCCTTAGTTTTCATGAATAGAAATAAGTATAACATATAGTTTGACTACCATGTTTGGGCACTGTTCTGAATCTAAGAAGAAATTGACTTAAGGTACTTTGAGCATCTTTATATACTGAAATAGATAAGGAACTCTAATAAGTTAGTGTTTAACTATTTGAAGAGTATGCCCAGATTTCATGATCCCCAAGGACCACCAGGGAGCCGAGTCCGATGCAATAAACAAAAGAGCCTGTTCCATGCTAGCATGGGCTCCTCCCACTCACGCCGGCAGCATGGCGGGAGAGAGGCGGAACTTCACAGGTAAAGGGGTTTTTTATAAGGGTGGGGATGCCACTGCTTTGGCTGACCCTGATTGGTTGGGTGAGGGCTAGGGTCCAGTTACACAAAATGGAGGATAGCTCCACCCTGCCCCACAATACAAAATGAAGTCAGGAGTTAGCCTTACCCTGCCCTGCCCTTTCAAAGAGAACAAATTTCATTGAAGAAAGTAAAAATACACTGCCGCTTTACCAGTCTTGATGAAGCTCTTCAAAGTAACTTCCAGTTCTGCTTATTTTTAAATTTCCATCAAAGAGGGGGCTACAATAAAAACAGCAGCAGCACTTGTAGGGTGGACCTTGGAGAATCAGTTCCTCAGCAGTGCATTTCTCCGGGGCTGGTCACAGTGGGCAGCTCTCTCCTTCAGCCGGCGAAAGGTCATGGCCACAGCTGGGTGTGCTTGCTAACCCACCAAGACCAGCAGAACGGATGCACCCAGCTCTCCCCATTTAGGTGGCCCACCCATTGCCCCCTTTCTCTGCATGTTTTTCATGATCCCTTAGAGCAGTGGTTCTCAACCTTTCTAATGCCTGGACCCTTTAATACAGTTCTTCATATTGTGGTGACCCCCAACCATAAAATTATTTTCATTGCTACTTCATAACTGTAATTTTGTTCCTGTTATGAATCATAATGTAAATATCTGTGTTTTCCGATGGTCTTAGGCTCTACAGTGACCCACAGGTTGAGAACCATTAGCAGGGTCACCTAAGACCATCGGAAAACACAGATATTTACATTATGATTTATAACAGGAGCAAAATTACAGTTATGAAGTAGCAATGAAAATAATTTTATGGTTGGGGGTCACCACAACATGAGGAACTGTATTAAGGGGTCACGGCATTAGAAAGATTGAGAACCACTGCCTGAGAGGATTGTTGTGAGACTAATATGAGTTATTAAAAAACAGAACTGTGCCTGGGGTATGGTAAGGGCTTTATAAATGTTAGCTATTATTTACCCTCCTTCCCTGGTGCTTTCTTTACTTCCTCTTTTCATACCACCTTAGAAAAGCACATACTTCTTAAAAGTTTATCTTTTCTGTCCCCTCCTGCTAAATCATTACCTCAATTTCCCAACCAAATTTTGTTCAGGGGAGAATGCATTTATATATTGTCACCTCTTTTACCAGAAAAATCATCTAAATACCAGTGATTTGTTTTTGTTTTTCCATTATCTTTCTAGTGCCTATGATTACACAATACCACCCATGGAGAAAACCCTTGTGAAAACCGACATTCAGATAGCTCTTCCTTCTGGGTGCTATGGAAGAGTAGGTAAGTGACTTAAGATGTTTTTGTGATATGTTCCTTCATCTTAGTTTTATCTGGGGTATAAATGAGGGAAGGGATATTTCTTGGCCTGAGTCTTAAAAGAAGGAAATGCCAACTGTTAGGGCAAATGCAGCCGTGTGAAAACTTTCATTTACATAATTATACTTTGGAGATATTCCAGTTCCGTTTCAAAGCACTGCGATGAAGCAAATATCACAATAAAACAAGTCACATGATTTTTTGGGTTTTCTAGTTCATATAAAAGTTAATGTTTATACTCTTTTGTAATCTATTAAGTATATAACAGCATTATGTCTAAAAATGTACATACATTAATTTAAAAATATTTTATTGCTTAAAAATGCTAATCATCCAAGCCTTTAGCAAATTGTAATCTCTCTGCTGATGGAGGGTCTTACCTTCAATTTGTAAAAAATATAATATCTGCGAAGCACAATAAACAAGGTGTGCCTATATCTGCTTTTGCCTCTTATCTCTTTGCCATTTTTTCGATTCTTTTCTTTAGCTCTTAGAAGGCTCACATTGGCCCACGAGGTTCTCACTGTGAGAAAAACTAAAAATATAGGTGATTTCTAATTGGCACTTTTTCCAGGGTTACCACCAACTCCCCCTTCAAAAACCAGACTGCATATGAAGTCAAGACTTCTTTGTGAGGATGGGGATGAGAATGGCTAATATTTGTTATTTAAGAAAATAGAGGCCTACTCAGGATAATGGCACAATCATTTTATATCATGAGAGTGGAACTTCTAAAACCTCTTAGTCCCAAAGTATATCAAGCCATTTAGATTTAGCCTTTTCCCCTTTGGGTTTGCCCCCTTGAAGTGTGTTAGGGCAGTTGTGGGCAAACTGCAGCTCTTGAGCCACGGTTTGCCGCTCTGTTGACTAATGAGTTTGCTGACCACTGTGTTAGGGAAACACTTCAGTGAGGGGAAAATCTCACAGAGGGAGGAGCTAGGACAAAATGGAGCGCAGGTTCTCAGATTCTACTTCCTAGAGTGATTCAGTTGTCGCTGAAGAGTTTAAAACTTCTCTTCAAGAGCATACTTACTTCCTGACTAACTTCAGAGAAAACCTAAAGGAGCACTTCCTCTCCCAGAGCTGGGATGGGAGGTGATAGCAAGAGTATCATTACTGGCCAAGAGACCTGCTAATACCCCACTCCAGGCATTTATCACCTTATCGTGTGTGTCCATGGGTTATGCATATATGCATACAAGTTCTTTGGTTGATTGCCCCACCCCTGCTATTTATATTTTATTTTTAAGAATAAAAGGCATAGTAAGAATAAAAAGCATAGTACATTGAGTTTCTAATGTTTAGTTTTGGCATTTTTTCAACTGACATTAAGCCTTTTACTTGGTTCACTTGTTCCATACAGACCTGTCTTTTGGCATCTGTATCATGAATCGGAGCCCCAAGTTCTAGACTGGGCTCTGCTACTCTTTGATTAGGTTTATGACTTCTCCCCCTCCTCCTCTCTCCCTTTTTCTCTCCCATACCCCCTTCTTCCCATCTACATTGCAACATGCTCAGAACTCTCATTTTAAAACGAAAGTTCTTTTACTCAGTTCTGTGCCCCTACAGTCTTCTCATGTGGCCCTGCTTCACAGAGTTGTCTAGGGTTGTCCCACTCGACCACCTATCAGTTCATTCTAGTCATCCGTGGCACCCCCTAGTCCTCCATTGACTGAACTTGTATGGACTGGCTTAAGTTGGGCTTCAAATTAGACCTTGTCAGATTTTTCTAAACTATTCTACTTTGGTAATACAGAGTAGTAAGTGAAGTGAAGATGAAGATATCAGTGATAGGAAATAAGAGTAATAACATGCTTAAATTCTGTCAGTTATATCAAGTAATTGCCCTTCCCTCTTAAAATAGCCAATTTGTCCTTTTTTTGTTTTTTTCAGCTCCACGTTCTGGCCTGGCTGCAAAACACTTTATAGACGTAGGAGGTATTGTATTTACATTTTTATTCTGTAAATATTTCCAAATATTTACTTTGCATTTGCTTATTAGGAGGAAGTAATCTAATGCCAAATTTTATTTTTATTTTATAATACTTAAAGAAAAGGAAATGTTTTCTGTTGTGTCTTGCCTTTTAAAAATTTCAATCTCTGAATAACACACTCATGATAAGTGCTATTTGAATATGTTTAATTTTTAAATGACCATTATGTGAAATGCATGTTATTTTACGACGTACTAGGCTAACTAGTCATTCTCTGACAGATAGGATTATTGCCTTGGTTTAGTGTTAATCTGCATTTAGTCCAAAAATGACTCCATTCATAGAAGAAATTTTTTTATTACAAGAGAAGGAAAAGCTTTTATATCACTTAAGCAAAAGGTTCTAGAAAATGCAGGTCAGTATAGTAGTAAGATTTTTCTTACCTCCTTAAGAGAGGTATCCATGTATGGCAAAAGATAAGAGAGAATCTTTCCCTAAAGTCAAGAGAGAAGACACTGTCCTTTCCTGTCTTGATTATTTTTTTTCTTTTTTTTAAGTGATGTATTTTTATTGATTTCAGAGAGGGAGGGAGAGAGAGAAAGAAACATTAGTGATGAGAGAGAATTTTTGATCGGCTGCCTCCTCATGTCCCACACTGGGGATTGAACCCACAGCCCAGGCATGTGCTCTGGCAGGGAATCAAACCCTGACCTCCTGGTTCATAGGTTGATATTCAACCAGAGCCACATCAGCTGGGCCTGTTAGGATTACTTACTGAGCAAGTCCTCCATGGCTCCTATTTCCTTATAACAAAGCCTTACTCAATGTCTCCCAAAGTCAACAACTTCCTCACCAGGCCCCTTTCATAAGGGAGCCTTAGTCTCCTCTGCTGGCCACCTCTAACTGCCCTTTACTGAATGGAAATTCTCACCTTCCTGATATGCCTCCCTTACTTGGATCTCATTCCTGGTGACAGACCCCTTTGACTGACCCTTCCTTATCCCCATTGATAATATCGAGTGCTTCACACTAACATGCTGTAGCTACTTTTGACAGATGAGATAACTGGCTCAAAGATGAGTCCAAATAGACAGACACATCAAAACCTGGAATCTCCATTTATATGATTTCATTACACTTATTCTTTCCAGCATCATTTAATGCTGTTGATCACCCTCCCATCCACCACCAGCCATAATCTGTACTGAGTTAGCTCATTGTCACATACATTGTATGGGTTAAGCAGGTTGGGGCCTGACCCTGAACTATCTCCTGCCTGCCCCATCCTCTCCCCATGGTGTCACTAGGTGGTGCTGTGGGGCAAGACAGGAGCCCAAAAGCAGTCCCTAAGAGAAGCTGAGTTTGACAGGACAGGGATGGACCGCCTTGAGGAGTAATTACCTGGGCTCAGTTATGCGTGATTTTTCAAATATACTTGTACAAGGTCAAGTATGGTAATTTAGGACTATAAATTACGAATATGAAAAATTGTGTATATTTAAAAAGACATTTCAAAGGGTTGGGAAAGGCACATGGGCTTTGGAGAAACAACAATGAAAGTTAGTGTGCACACCTGTGAAGGGTTGGAGGATTAAATGCTACTGTATGTAACTCTGAAACTATTTGACTCATATTAAATCCTGGAACTTATTTTTCCTGTGTCCTAGGGCAGTGGTTGGCAAACTGCGGCTCAGTTTGCCGCTCTGTTGACTAATGAGTTTGCCAACCACTGCCCTAGGGACTTAACAGATTTTTTTTTTTTTTAATGTGGAAACTTTGTTACTAAATTTTACTCTGTTGAAAATAAACCCCCAAAAAAATTCATGTAAAGGAAATGGAAAGTTGGTTTGCCTGGTGATTGGTTTGGTATTATTTATAAAATCACATTGTGGTGTGTTCTTGGATGCAGAATATCTTAAAAATGTCTCTTAGGCACAGGTTTATCACAGTTGGCCTCGGTTTTTATTTCAGAGGAGAGATGTTGTTAGAAATCCCAGGCTGTAAATAAGGGTCAAAGGGAAAAGTTGAGTCTGCAGGATTCTGTTCAGAACTCACATCTGGCAGGTGTGGACAGTTCTCACTAAAGGTTTCCAACAGACAACATGCCAAAGTCTTGACAGAGTAAAACACTGCCTGAAGTCAGTTAATCACTCTGCCAGTTCCAATGCATGAATTTTCCAGTGATAACTTCAAAATGCTTGCTGCTTTCTCATGAAGAGACATGTCCCTGATGTAACTAATGTCCTTTACTATAAGTTTTTCTTGAAGGTCAAATTGCCTTTGAGTGATAGTGGAATTGGAACTTTTTTATATATATATATATATATATATATATATATATATATATATATATATGTATATGTATATGTATATATATATATATATATATATATATATATGCACACACACACTTTTGGCACTCAAGCTAAAAATATATTTGAGAGCTTTTTTTCCCCTGCCATACATTTTAATTAACTTCAAATAGCTTCATTTCTTTTAGTTAGTTGAAGGCTTTTCCCATGTCTGTATGCTGAGCATAAAATCTTGGTGGATTACTTGGCATTGCAGAATTTAAAATACCCACCCATTTGAGTTCGATAAAACAACTTTATAGATAGATACCAAAGACCTTTACACAAAGGGAGTGTTTTTGTATCTTAGAAGATACCATAGTCTAAAAAAATAAATACTTAAATTATATGCAAAAGAGTTAAATACCCAAAAAGATCAGAAAAAAAAATTTAAACAAAATAAATATTAAGGACAAATTTAATGGTCAGCTGGTAATGGGGAAAGAAATTAGGCTTCAGTATTCTTTGAGTTGGTCATTGCTGTATAAGTAGAAAGGAAGACTGTTTTAAGAAATACTTAAATTCAATTTCACATCCTTAGTAATTCATTCATGAAGTACAGGGGTTAATTTAAACTTCTAGGATCCACTGGAAAAATCTAAAATGTTAGTTTTTCTGAGTTTTAGGTGTGTTTTTTTTCCCTATGGTGGAACTTTTCTTTTTATTATTATTTATTTCCTTCCCCCCATCCCCTCCCTCGATCTGAGAAAATTGAAAGGAAATGCTTACCCTTGTTCTATAAGAAGTTTTTTTTATCAGTTGACCTTTAAATAATGAAGCCTGCCAAACAGCATTGCTACCCATAGAGCTAAGTTCCTGATTGTTTTTATTTCCTTATTTCCTTTTTTCCTTTTGATAAGAGAGTTTTTTGTTGTGTGTGTGTGTGTGTGTTTTAAGAAGGTAGATGTTATTAGATAGACTTTACATGGACCTGCATTGGATTAGGTTTGCATGAATTCTATCCAACATTTTACAAACCAAGGGGAAAGAATTAGCAGGTATAAAGGAAATTGGTAGGAGTGGAAGGGAGATTGGAGAGACTGATAGTAGATAGGGGGTTTCTTTTGGGCTAATGAAAATATTCTGAAATTATGGCGATGGTTGTACAACTCTGAATACATTAAAAATTGTTGAATTGTGAATTAAGTTTCAATTTTAAAAAAAAAGGAAATGAAACGGCCTGGTGCCACCTACATTATATATGCTTGTGTTTATGGAAACATTTTAAATTCCTGGCTCAAAGATAAGTACTAACAAGTCTGGTATATGTACTTCTCTGAACCAAAGCTGGGCCCTGGCTTACATTTCTCTCTTGTTCTTGTGTTTATAGTCTCAAACCAGGTACTAATTACATAGGATCTAAGTAAAAGTGTGCTCATTATTAAGCTAATGTGCTAATGTCTTCTGAGAGATCACTCTCTAAGAAAAGGTGGTGACTTAAAAGGTTCAGCTCCATTTTTATTATAAAAATGAAATGTGCAGATATTTGGTAGATGGCTGCTTAACCATGTCAGCATTGACTTACTCCACTGCCAGTCTTCAGGCTTTCTGACATTTTGTTTATGACTCAATCATATTTTGATGTGGAGATTAGTAGGGAGCTGCCACCAGGAAAAGCCTTTAAAGTCCAAATCATAATTTTCTCCTGGTTTTTTTTGGCAGGTGTGCAGCAGATAGACAGTGGGTTTGGAGAGCAATTCAGAACGACCTGTCTGAGTTGTGAAGTGCCTGCTCCCAGTTTAGAGTAGGAGACTGTCACCATTTGTAAGGGTAATGGTTGGAAAATGAAGGATACCTTCAAATTTTTGTTTACATATTAATAATATTTCTTAGTTTTGATACTTTATACAGTTACCAAATGCATATTCAGTTGTATAAAAATTGCAGACCCATGCCCAGCTGGTGAAGCCCAGTGGTTGAGGGTTGACCCAGGCACCAAGAGAGATCACTGGTTCGATTTGCAGTCAGGGTAAAAACCCAGGTTGCAGGCTCAATACATCACCAGGGGGCTGTGCAGGAGGCAGCTGATCAATATTTCCCTCTCATCAGTGTTTCTATCTCTCTAAAAATTAATTTTTAAAAATATTTTAAAATCTCAGAGCCACATAAGAGTGATTTTGAGGTAATTATACACTCTCTTAGTGTTTTGGTAGAATGAAACAAGTTAACATTATTTTTCTTTTCTTCAGCTGGTGTTATAGATGAAGATTATAGAGGAAATCTTGGTGTTGTATTGTTTAATTTTGGCAAAGAAAAATTTGAAGGTATGTCAAATACGTATGGTCACATAGATGCAGTGACTTTTCCAAGTTGTGTACATCTAAATAACACATGCTATAGTTCTCATTGTTTAAGGCAGAGTACAGAGAATACATTAATAAAAGAACAGTAACGCACTTTTGTTTTTGTTTTTCTCTTTGAAGTAAAAAAGGGTGACCGAATTGCACAGCTCATTTGTGAAAGGATTTTTTATCCAGAAATAGAGGAAGTTCAAGTAAGTGTCATAAAAACTGAGTAGGGAATGAATGATCAGTGAAGGAAATTAAAATTGTGAGATTTAATTAAGCTATCTGTAACTACTAGTAAATAGCATAAGTGACTAGTCCCATTTTTAAGCAAAATTAAAATCTTAGCTTTAGAATTTCTTAATGATTTTCATAGCTGTCATATAGCATTATATTGGATAATAAATCATTTAAATATACTGTGAAATTCTATTTCCTTAGCTTTTTTGAAAATTACTCAATATTTAAATTTATAGAGCTTTCTTAAAATTTAATTTTGTTTTCTGTAATCTTTTTAAAAGATGGAATAGCAGGAACAAAGTCTTACTAATGAGGAGGAGCTGGGGAGAACTGAGAAGATCTGAAATTAACCAGATGGCTTACCACCTTTTATCTTTTCAGGTTTTAGATGACACTGAAAGGGGCTCAGGAGGTTTTGGTTCTACTGGAAAAAATTAAAATTTATTCCAAGAATAGAAAATGAGAAATAAAGAGATTTTTTAATTTTTTTTTTATTTTTGGTCTTACATTTCTGTAAACTTAACAGCTTTAGATTCTACATTTGTTGTACAAATATTCATAGTAACATAATATTTTTTTTGCTTGTTTGTTTTTTTCAATCAAATGTACAGCAATTATAGATTCTCATAACTGTATTATTTAATTCACTAAATGCTACCCATTCAACAACTTATTCTTCGCTTTGTTTTTATAAATCATAACCAAAGCCTTTTATTCAATAAATTTGAATTCTTTCACAGATACAAATTATTATATAAACTGAACTAAAAAATAAAAAAAAGTTATTCCTTGTTCTCTTTATTGGTCTAAAAACTGTGTGTGTGTGTGTGTGTGTGTGTGTGTGTGTGTGTGTGTGTAGGGAAAGGCAGAGAGTCTAAACTTTTAATATTTCTTTGTGAGAGTGGGAAGAAGAGAATCATCAGTTTATTTTTCTATTTTTAGTGTTGCTTTTTTAATTTTCCTTTTGGTAGACTCCAGGTTGACTGGGTAGAGTAAGTGTGAAAGGAAATGTAACTTGGAAATTTCCAGTTGGTTTCTCCAGATTTTGTTTCATCAAGTAAATTGTATGAGTTGTAATTAATATCTTGGTTTCCCTCACTGCAGTAACAATAATAGGCTGTACTCAAGGAAATATTGAATTTAATCAGAATAAACTAAATATAATGATGTATGCTTAGTCCACTGGGTTTGTCCAACCTATGTACTTTTGTTTAAATATGTTTAAACAGCATTTCCTTTCTGTGAATTTGTTTGATTAACATCTGCAGACTTCTAGATGTGCTTCCAATATTCTCAGACCCCTTTGCACCAGGCTGTCAGGTACTCCAATGCATCATTTTTGTGTGTGGAGCTGGCAGCTTTGGCCACCCAGGCCCGAGAAGCACAGGCTCAAGTGTATCGCTGCTCATCCAGTGGTTCTAGTCCATTTAATACCCTACAATGTAGTGGTTTCCATTTGTGGGTAGCTGTTCATTAGTGAGTCATGACGTGACCAGAAGTGAAATGCATGTGAGTAGTAAAGGACACTCACAGGGAGAAATGACAGTTGAGAAGAAGTGGATTTTAACGGTTTGGTAACTTCCCAGCCAGAGACAGGCATTTTTTTCTCATCCTTCACAGTTCTGTCTCACTAATGACTCCTTGTCCACTCCCGATCCTGGTCCTGTAACATAAGAAGAGGAACATTCCTACAGACTAATCTGATGCTCCAGTTCACCTTGGTGGCTATGCAGTTGGAATCACGTACCAGTACTTCAGCAGTTGGCCTGGGGCAGGGAGGGGAGGGGGGTCTGAAGCCCAGAGCACCTTCTCTGCACAGTACTTCCTACCACATGACTATATTCCACCTGGGAGGAGCTGTCAAACTCCTTTTTTTATTTCCTCAGATTCATTTTCAATCTCATCAATGGAAGAATGGTGGGAGGCTACAAGGCTAGGATCCGCAGGCACCTGGAGTTTTAGGACATGAAGGTATCAGAGTTTGGGATTAATGGACCTCACTGATAACTATACTGATAAAAGGTTAATATGCTAATTAGACTGGATGACCGGCCATCTTCTGGATGTCAGACTTCCTTCCAGATAAAGCCACCGTGGTGGGGACCAAGGCAGAGATGGGCAATCAGGTTGGCAGAGAAGGTTAGGGGCAGGTAGGCAGGCGAGTGGTTAGGAGCCAGCAGTCCTGGATTGTGAGAGGGATGTCCAAGATTTGAGAGTGCAGGCTGGGCTGAGGGACACCACCCCCATGCATGAATTTCATGCACCAGGCCTCTAGTAATTACCTAAGTATTGAGTCCAATGTCATATAGAACATTCTTAGCAGGGCTTCTAGAATCCTCTGACTTTTCCCAGATCACCCTAGGTCCTCTCTCATCTTTTCTCTTCCCCGCATCTTTTTAAATTTTTTTATTTTATTTTATTGATTTTTTTACAGAGAGAAAGCGAGAGGGATAGAGAGCTAGAACCATTGACCAGCTGTCTCTTGCACACCCCCCACCGGGGATGTGGCCGCAACCAATGTACATGCTCTTGACCGGAATAAAATCTGAGACCTTTCAGTCCACAGACCAACGCCCTATCCACTGAGCCAAACCGGTTTCGGCTTCCCCCGCATCTTTAACTCTGGCAGTGGTCCCCATTAAGAGAGAACTAATAGTTGGCACCTATCTCTGCTTCCTGCCCGCCCCCGTCCCAAACTTTGTTTCCTCCTGCTCACCTCTGCAGCATACCCATAAGATAAAGGTGATAGATTGTTAAGAACAGCAGATAAAGAGGATAGAAATCACATGGGCCAAAATTTCCTAATAGTGATAGTAGTATTTATATTCAGAGAGCATCCCTGTATAGAAAGAAAGCTTGACAGAACCCACCATAAGAGGTATGTAATCATTCTAGTAAAGACAATGTGATTGACCTTTGTCAGGCATTTATAGCCTTATGCTGCTCTTATCTTATGCTCATTAGTGTGAAATATACTATTTTATGTAACTGTCCTGGTCCTTTCAGCTGAGAAATACTTTCTGGTATTGTATCATCATCCTAAGAAGACAGGTGAGATGGGAAGGAATAACATTTCAAAAGTGAAAAAGAAATGCCTTTTGCAAAAAAGATACATCTCCACTTGGAGATGGATTGGGTACACAGTGTTCTGACATTGCTCTTTCCCTCACTAAAAAGAAAATGAGAAAAAAGCAAAATAGAAATGAAACTGAAATTTTCCCTGAGAATCTTCTCAGGAAATATATGAAGAAAAAAACAGTATATTAAAAATGGCCTGCCCTTATTAGTAAACATGCTTTGGTTGGGAGAATTTTAAAAGATCCAGGAGTCCAGCTGGTGTGGCTCAGTAGCTGAGCACTGAGCCATGAACCAGAGGTCACTGTTTTGATTCCCTGTCAGAGCACTTGCCCAAGTTGCGAGCTTGATCCCCAGTAGGGATGTGCAGGATGTAACCAATTGATGATTCTCATTATTGATGTTTCTATCTCTTCCACACTCTCTCTGGAATCAATAAAAACACATTTAAAAAATAAAAAGATCTAAGTGGTCCCCTAAAATGTCTATTTATAAAAGTAAGATTATTGAGAAAATTTAAGATTAATTTGATTAACAAATTAGATTGTCTTGGTTTGTATCTAATTTTTTTTAATGAGAAAAAATTATCTAATTTTAAAATAAAAATGTCTAATTTTTTAAAATGGGTTTTACAGATGAGAAAAAAAAAACACCTCTGGGAAAATATATACCAAAATATTCATCTCTAGTTATTGGAAATAATTTTTTCCCTCTTTTGCATTATCTATATTTTAACTTTTTTTTTTTTTAAGACAAAAGCCATATTGTTTTAAAATGCTTAGATTTTTATAATATTTTTTGGTTAATTTTTATTACATTTGCCATTTTAATGAATATTTTAATATTGAAAGTCTGGGGAAGTTGTAACTATGTAAGTTTTGAAGAAAAAAATATACAAGTGTGTATAATGAAGAAATACTAGCTTTGGGAGTTTTAGACTCACGTTTAAGTTTTGCCCTTTGACTAAAAGATCTGGATAATTTGAATGGCCTTACAGGCTCTCAGTTTTCTTATAAAATAAGGCGAGTCCATCAAATAATTTCTCCCAACCTTTCCTGCTCTCCTATTCCATTTTCGTGAATTTTGAGAGCAGACTTTATGGCTGTAGCAAACCACTGCCACCTGGTGGCAGTTATCTGAAGTGAGGGGCCTGCATTTAAGGTATAAAAACATCATTTTACCTTCATTCATGTTTAAATTTGCCCAGCTACATTTGCTGGGCAAGTGCCAGCATCACAATTCATTCACGTTAATGTTTTTATGTTTTTTTGTTTTTTGTTTTTTTTGTTTTAGTTAAGAGTTGACATTAAATATTATATAGTAGTTTCAAATGTACAGCATAGTGATTAGACATTTATATAATTTCCAAAGTGATCCCTCATAAGTCCAGTACCCACCTAGCACTGTGCATAGTTTTCACAGTATTAGTGACTACCATTCCATTTAGTGTTTTTCTAGATGATACAAGTCAAACCACGAAGACATGAGTGGTCACATGCTTGCTGTGTTGCTTGAGGACATCATTTAACCACTTCTGAGCCTCAGACTTCCCATCTGACTAATACAGATAATACTAACATTATTAGAAAATCTAGAGATGGTGAATATAAAATATCTCACACAGTCCATGGGAAAAAATATTTGGTCAATAAATGCAACTATTGTCAGAAAGGTTATTATCTAGAAGTTTTGCCATCTATATTCTAGAGACAAATATAGAAATCTGTAATATGCCTTGAAAATACAAAGAAGGCACATTCAGAAACTGGCAAAACCGAAGTTCAAGTAGACTAGAGTATAAAGGACGCGTAAGACATCGCTAACTGTTTGGAATGGTAGATTGCAAGTCCTCTTTGGAGGGTCCTAAACAGCAGGGAAGCAATGACCAGTCATGGAATAATTTGGAGCAAAAAGTAAGATTAGCCCAGCTGGCGTGCCTCAGTGGTTGAGAGTTGACCTAAGAACCAGAAGGTCACGGTCAGGGCACATGCCCGGTGGTGGGCTCAATCCCCAGTGTGGAGCGTGCAGTAGGCAGCTGATCAATGACTCTCTCTCATCATTGATGTTTCTATCTCTCCCTCTTTTTTCCTCTCTGAAAGAAAAAAAAGAAAAGAAAAAAAGATCATCAGAGCTGAGCTTTGAGAAGATTGTTATTAAACTAAATGTCTGTGACAGATAAGTTCGAGAAACCATTGTCAGAACACCAGGTAAGGAGCACAGAGGAAGGCAAAGGAAAGATGGATGGAAATGACAGCAAAAAAACTGCAGAGATGAAGTTGTAAATAATCTCTCTAGGGTGACATAAGACATTGTAAGATTACAAGTGAAACCTAAGGCAAAGGGAGGCTAAGATGTGCTTGATG